AATATTCTTTGTCAACACCAAACAGAAAATGAAGTTTAAAGTGTAGTCACCCTAAAAAGACATTATTTGTCTCTTTTATTGGTTGGAAAAATTAAAATTCTACCCAAAAATTTATGGTCAATCATTGGCGAAATTATAATTGTTTTGGATAATTTTTGATTGATCATAAAATTTTGTAATCGATCATAAATATATTCTAATTGGTTATTATTTCACCCTTTAAAATTATATAGCCATCCTCAATGAAAAATCAGCATTGGTGACATAGAGCTATGGACCTTGTCAGGAAATTTGGGTCTGCGGAATGCGGGCCACTGTCTCCATTGATACTCAACGCTGTAGGGCAGTTTGGTAAGGGGCTATAGGGCTGTTTGGTAAGGTGCTGTTTGGTAAAGGGCAATAGGCCTGCTTCGTAAGAGGTTGTTTGGTAAAAGGCTATAGGGCTGTTTGGTAAGGGGTTACAGAGGGTTTAGTAAGATGAGTTTGTAAAAAATAATTTAAAGAACCCTAAAATTTCTTATTTTGATTGAAAATTTAATCTCGGATTCTCAAATTTGGCCCGTAATTGACCCGAATATTAAACTCATAATCATAAGTTTCAGCAAACCTATTTGAGGGGTAAATTTGAGAAGATGAGTTAAAGAGTTAAGAATGTAAAAGACAATTGTACCTCTAAATTCTTAATATGAGTATGAATTGGATTAATTAAGAATAAAATAGTCATTTATAGGACAAATAGTTGTTAATAATTATAAAATATCCGTAAGTGTTACATGTGTATATATTGCATACCAAACATGAATATGAATTAGATTCAATGTTGAATCTCATTTTTGTAAAGAGGAGTTTGAGTTTGAAGAGATTTAGGAAAGTCAATTCAAACTCTCCCTAAAAGTTCATCCAAACATACCCTAAGTTTATATTTAACTCGAGATTTAAATTAAAAAAATTAAAATCTAGAGGTACAACGCTTGAATTTTGAATTTTAAATTCCTAAAAAGAGTTTTAGTCATTTACTCGATGCATATGATTTTGCAAGCAATTGTGCGTATCTATTTGAGTTTACATTGTAATTATGAGTCCAAAAGGTTGGGATAGTTGTTAATCAAAAAAATAAATCAAATTACAGTTCACGTTATACATTTTATTTTTTTTTCAACGGTCAAGAGTATTTGCACTAACTTAACCGCACATCAACTAATTTTCTTTTTGGTTCAATCAAATGCAAGTCATTCACTCTAAAGAATTGATGAGATTTGAACTCAAAATATTTAAATTTACAGTTCAACTTTGTTACTATTTAAGTTATTCTTAATGTTATTACACATTACAATTGAGACAAGAAATGTGGATTTTTTTTCACCAACCTACCATGGTTTTGTAAGTTATTTGTTCAAGTGCTACATTACATCATTATATTTACTTATGCATGGACCAAACTCATGTTTTTCAATGTAGGAACATGATTGCCAAAAAAACAGTTGGAAGGTACTTTTAGACAAGTTTTAATGGCAAGTGTACTTGATGTGCTGCTCTCATTACTTCATAAAACTAGGGGAAAAGAATAATTGGTGTGGTTAGAAAAGAAGCATTGTGTTGAACTACTTGACATCAACCCTAATTATAGTATAAAATTAAAAAAAAATCCCCTTTATCCAGAGTCAACAAACTCTATTCCAAACCTTGGGACTAGGACATAAAAAATTATAAAACTGCACTTCTCAAAATATTTACACCGATTTTTCATTCCAAATGATGTGGTTCACTTATTTGTTGTTGAGAATCATACCACTCACTTGAAAAATAAAACATGATAAAAATATTTGATCGTCATATCAAAACTCCTTGATCAATTTTCGCTTTTCAAAGGTTTGACACGGGTTTTATCCGGATTGTTTTGTGTTTGGTTGAGATCCTAACCAAATCAAGCACACCAACATGAAATATATAAACTTGGAATTGAATGTTTACCAATTGGAAAAAAGAAAGAACCAAGATCATGCGAGGTTTGATGTTATTTATCTCTAGTTGTTTCAATTGCTGAACTAGGTATATTAAATTTTTGACTAATCGATAAGAGAATATTTAATACTACAGTAGTATCAGGTTATAATCGGCACTCGGTATCACCAACTAACTTAGGCCTAATCAACCCAATTCATCAAATGTGCTAGTTATTTGATAATGGGTAGTGGTTGTTTATGAATTAAATGTAGTTCACTAGAGGACAATGTTTTTTGTTTATAATTAGTAATGCTATGCGTGAATGATAACGTCATACCACCTTGCACTGATTGTTTACTGGTGAGAGGGACAGAGAGAATGACATGCATAACTAGGAGGATTCCTGCTAGTAAAAAATCCAAATGCATGGTGACAAAGAATAGTTTTTAATTAAAAACAATTTAGTCTAAATTAAGAATAGGTTATTCCATTTGTGCTCTAAGATACGTTTTGTCTACGGAATTGGGACTTTTTTTTTAACTTATATGATGCTACTATACCCAAAAAACTGGTAAAAATAATTATCATAATAGTGATAAAAATATCCACAAAAGTGAGAAATTTTTTAGTTACAAAATGACCTCCAAAAATTAAAAAAAATACCCATTAAAATAGTAAATTTTAGAGGTACAGTACCGAATTTTTTTGGTTAGTAGCATAGTGAAGTCCATATGTTTTATATAATTTAGCTAAAACCCCATGGACAATTTTAGGGTTTGGACACTTCTCAACTAACAACCCATTGGAGGGGTTCAAATCTCTTAAAATACTTTTATTTTTTTCATATTGACTCAATATATATCACTCATTACTAATCCATTAGGACCTATAGGAGATAGCATAGAAGCGAAAGAGATCACACACATTCATTATTCAGATAAATTATATATTGTTAAGTAAGAATGATATTTATTTTTATCTTGTATAATTTTCACCTTATATAGAATTGAGTCTCACGTATATAATCATTGTCACAAATATATCAAATATAGTTCATTGGATATTTGGTTTGTAAATGCAAACAGTAGACATTATATACGGAAATGGAACCACCAACACATATTTTACTTTTTATTTTTCATCAATTTATAAGTGGATTCCCAATCAAAACTTCAATTCTATATGATGAGTGATATTAAAAAAAAAAAATTGGGGAAATCTTAACCTGTTTGTAAGTAACCTGAACTCAACCACCAGCAGTGGCGGAAGGCAGCCACATATCCTTAATCATTATCTCCTTTCAATAGACATACCTACCTAGCTGGAATTTGCACATCCAATAGATATACCCAGCTACCTGGATTTGATTGGGGTGCTAAAAAATGAAATTTGGGTACTGATAATGTATTCTATTCTGTACGGTTGAACAAAGGTGAATGGCTTGAGAATCTCGTTAAGGACGTTGGTAAGGCTTATTAGGATATCCGGTCAAAACTTCTGGGCTCGTAGGGGTTAAATAATGGATTCGGAAGTTAAATAATTACAAAGACTAAAAATTTATAGTGGTTCACTAATTTGGAAGTTTGGTTAATCTATTTTAATGGAGTCTTTTATTTTTGGGAGAGTTGTCTTGTGTGATCTCTGAGATCTTCTCGTAGCCAACGCAATCCTTGCATAATCAACAAGATCCCATTGAAATTGTTATGTCCTAATCTGTCGAAATATTTGACTATTAGATGTTATATTTTCTAGGAGTGGCATGGTCTTGTGGTAGGTATAAGCCATGGTTGTTACTATGTACACGAGGGTTATGTAGGAGGTCCGAGTTAATATATCCAAGCTAAGAGGTCGGAGCTTGACCTTGACTAATTTTTGATATCATACTAAAATTTATTATATTTATAGATATTTTTATCATTATTGTGAGTGTTTTTATGACTATTGTAATACCTAAAAAAATGATAAAAATAGTTACTACAACAATATAAAAAGACCAACAAATATGATAAATCACTCACAAAAGTGATTTTTTTTTGTACCGAAGAAAATTTATAAAAATAATTAGCATAACAGTTTTAAAAATATATATAACAATAGTAAAAATACCTACAAAAGTAATAAATCACCCATAAAAATGATAAATTTTTTGGGTTAAAAAACGACTCATAAAAATTATAAAAACACTCTTTAAAGTCATAGATTTTGGAGATATAGTATTGAATTTTTTTTTTATCGTTCATGAGTATCTCTCTTAAAAAAAATAACACAAGGAGCAGATGGATACTGTCCTGAGCTATATACATTGTAACAAGTTTTCTTTTTTTTAAGAATAAAACCTGCAAGTGCACAGCTTTGTGTCCGTTGACCTTAGTTTATCAATATATATAAGAATTCCTGATCAAAAATAATATATATATATATATAAGAATTAGAACACAACCACCAAAAAATTTATGTCATTTCTAAAATATAAGAGGCAGATCATGTAATTAGTGAAAAAATAACAACTTCAAGTCCAATTCAATCTCTCGTTTAATATATAATACGTAGGTTACATACCTCATGTGATAATAATTATTCTCTCTACTACAAATAAACAATCATACTTCTTTATGCTTTTTAACAGTGTCTGTCGCATCAAATAACAAACTCCTAAGTCATATTGATGGGTGATCGAAAAAAATACATCGGAGAAATCTTAACCTTTGGAATAGTTAACGGTCTCAAATAGATTTGTTCAATAACCACCAATACTCCTTTTTAAAATTATTAATATTATACCGTATTTTTTGATACGAGTTATTTCTTGTATATAAAAAACACATTCGATAGTTATTCCATTCAATTGCATTGCTTTCTTTCTTTATTTTTTGTTTTGTTCTTTATTTTTTATTATTAAAAAGAGTGTATGTAACATGGGGTAAATTTAGTTACAAAAGGAATGAGATTAATAATTTAATAATAAAAAAATAAATTAGATGGGAATAAAAATTTGTGATTCAGGAATAGGCCAACTGTTTTTGTTTTTGTACTGTTGTCAAGTCGACACACATACACACAAACATAAAAATAAAATGAGAACTGAGTGGCTTTCTCTCTCATCTACAATTGGTGTGGACTAGTGACACAAATGATGCAGCAGCAGGAGAAAGAAGCTAAGGTATCCATGGAAAGCACCATCCAACCACTTCTAGGTAATGACCGTGACGGTGAAGATCAAAAACAAGTGAGATGTGCTGAAGAATTTGGTGCAGAGTCGAAGAAGCTATGGAAGCTTGCCGGCCCGGCAATTTTCACGGCGATATGTCAGTACTCACTCGGCGCTCTCACTCAGACTTTCTCCGGCCTGGTCGGCGAGGTCGAGCTCGCCGCCGTGTCTGTTGAAAATTCTGTGATTGCCGGTCTAGCCTTTGGTGTCATGGTAAGTTTGTATTCTCTCTCTGTGTGTACTTGAAGTAATTGTTCATGTTCCAACAAGTTTTTTTTTGTTCTTCTGTGATTTGTATAAATGACAAGATTTATGCTTTTGTTCTGGTGAAGAATATCATAAACTGGCTTTGAACTATGTTTCTGAATTTTGTTATTACTATTTCAATTTAATTGGATAATCTAATCATACATGGTACTTTTAGGGTAGTAGGTCGAGGACCTCAAGGCTCAAGGTATAAAGTTATTGCTCCATTTGTATGATTAGGTAGACCTCTCGAAAAAGTAGAAATATACCAAACAGGGGATGGAGGAACCAATGCATTAGTGTACAAAGACCGTGAAAACTTGGTCACGTTTGGTTTGCCTTACCAAAAAAAATAGTATTCCAAAATTGTTTTTAGAAGAGTTTTAAAAAAATATATATATTTTGATATTTTTTGTGTCGAATAACTTGTTTGGTTATCTGATTTTAAAAATAATTCTACAGAATAGAACACAGTAAAAATTGTTAACGCGTACTTAAAGAACTGACTTAAAGCTTGACATCATGATGCGGCTGTTACATTTATCATTAATTTAACTATGATTCTCATATTTATTATGATCTACAATCTATTCGATAGTTGTGATTCATCAAGTCAGTTTTTTAAATATATTTAGCATTTTCCTTGGACAATAATACAAAAAATAACAAAAATAGAAATGTGGTGGTGGCGGAGAAAATGTGGTGGTGATAATAGTGGTGGGAAGTTGCATCGTAGCAACCCAATGAGCAGCCTTGTCTAAACGTTCTGAGTACATGGAAAAACTGTAAAGACAAGTTGTTGGCTATAGTTCTAATGTCAAAGATGGAAGCTGCAATTTGTCATGGAGGTACTCCCTCGTTGGAACTGAGCTCAATGACTTCCTCACATGTCAATTGACAACAATGAAAGACTCTGATAAAAAAAACCCAGTTATTATTTATGCATAATTAGTTTTGCATTATGCATCAACCTAATAAATCCTTTTTTTTTTTTGTTGAAAATATTGCTTGGATAAATTTCTGCAGTTGGGGATGGGGAGTGCATTAGAGACTCTATGCGGGCAAGCATACGGTGCTGGGCAGATTAGAATGCTTGGGGTGTACATGCAGAGATCATGGGTCATCTTGACGACCACGGCCTGTCTTTTAGCTCTTGTTTACGTCTTCTCTCCTCCCATTCTGGAGCTTTTGGGACAGACCCCTCAGATCTCTGAAGCCGCAGGTCACTCTACCCATTTCTCTCATATCATCCCCCGAGGGGGATCCCAGACATTTTGGGCTTAAAGCAGAAAAAATAAATGTTTTAAAATTTTAATATTAATAATAAATTTATTTTTTTATTTTTTAAAATGTAAGAGAGGGGAAGAGAATGATTGCAAAACTATGATATTAAGTTGATTTTTAGTAACTTTATTTTTATTGTCAACTTTTTTTAAAAAAAAATTAAATTTTAGGGCCTTTTAATTTCATGGGCCGAATTAATAAGTTAAATTCACTCAAGCTAAAATCTTTTGTTTGGACTTAAATCTAAGTTTTTTATGGGACCTATTTCTTATAAACTCAAAATTTTTATTTGAATTATTACGACATGTCTAAAAATTATAGGTTTTTCCTCAAAGTAGGACTTAAAACCCAGGCTTTAATGATCTAATGATTGGGCCGGCCCTGGCCCCTTTCAAAGTCTTTTGATTTGTTTTTCAAGGCCAAGTTTGACATTCTGGTGCAGGTGAATTTGCTATATGGATGCTACCACAATTGTTTGCATATGCCTTGAACTTTCCAATTCAGAAGTTCTTGCAGGCACAAAGGAAAGTGTTGGTTATGGCCTGGGTGTCAGCTGTGGTGCTGGTGATACATGCATTTTTTAGCTGGTTGCTAATATTGAAGCTTGGGTGGGGTTTAATTGGAGCAGCAATTACTCTAAACACTTCATGGTGGCTCATAGTTATTGGGCAATTGCTGTACATATTCATTACTAAATCGGATGGTGCCTGGACTGGGTTCACATGGCTAGCATTTTCAGACTTGTATGGCTTTGTCAAGCTTTCTTTGGCTTCTGCCATCATGTTATGGTAACTCANGAGTGCATTAGAGACTCTATGCGGGCAAGCATACGGTGCTGGGCAGATTAGAATGCTTGGGGTGTACATGCAGAGATCATGGGTCATCTTGACGACCACGGCCTGTCTTTTAGCTCTTGTTTACGTCTTCTCTCCTCCCATTCTGGAGCTTTTGGGACAGACCCCTCAGATCTCTGAAGCCGCAGGTCACTCTACCCATTTCTCTCATATCATCCCCCGAGGGGGATCCCAGACATTTTGGGCTTAAAGCAGAAAAAATAAATGTTTTAAAATTTTAATATTAATAATAAATTTATTTTTTTATTTTTTAAAATGTAAGAGAGGGGAAGAGAATGATTGCAAAACTATGATATTAAGTTGATTTTTAGTAACTTTATTTTTATTGTCAACTTTTTTTAAAAAAAAATTAAATTTTAGGGCCTTTTAATTTCATGGGCCGAATTAATAAGTTAAATTCACTCAAGCTAAAATCTTTTGTTTGGACTTAAATCTAAGTTTTTTATGGGACCTATTTCTTATAAACTCAAAATTTTTATTTGAATTATTACGACATGTCTAAAAATTATAGGTTTTTCCTCAAAGTAGGACTTAAAACCCAGGCTTTAATGATCTAATGATTGGGCCGGCCCTGGCCCCTTTCAAAGTCTTTTGATTTGTTTTTCAAGGCCAAGTTTGACATTCTGGTGCAGGTGAATTTGCTATATGGATGCTACCACAATTGTTTGCATATGCCTTGAACTTTCCAATTCAGAAGTTCTTGCAGGCACAAAGGAAAGTGTTGGTTATGGCCTGGGTGTCAGCTGTGGTGCTGGTGATACATGCATTTTTTAGCTGGTTGCTAATATTGAAGCTTGGGTGGGGTTTAATTGGAGCAGCAATTACTCTAAACACTTCATGGTGGCTCATAGTTATTGGGCAATTGCTGTACATATTCATTACTAAATCGGATGGTGCCTGGACTGGGTTCACATGGCTAGCATTTTCAGACTTGTATGGCTTTGTCAAGCTTTCTTTGGCTTCTGCCATCATGTTATGGTAACTCATCAGTACCCCTTTTTCTCCCTGTCTTGTGCTGTGCTGTTGTCATTTACATTACTAAAAGGGTGCAATGGATGAGGCTCTGTGAATGCGGATTTTGGGAAGAGTTTGATGTATGCAAGTATGCAACCTCAGATTGCACACAGAGTGGTCATTTTCGTGACTCAAACACATTGTTTTCGTAACTCAAACCCATGATGCTTAGGTCATGATGGGGTAACTTTATTATTGCACCAAGACCCACCTTTTTTTTTCACCTTACTAACTGCTGTCATTGCAATCGTTTCATTGCAGCTTGGAATTCTGGTACTTGATGATACTGGTGGTGATAACGGGCCGTCTACCTGACCCTTTAGTACCAGTTGATGCCATCTCTATCTGGTATGAATATGAATTTATGTACTATACTTCAAATTATTAACTTTGAATTTGATAGAATTATATCAAATTATTCTTAACTTGGGTGCAAAACTTTTGCAGCATGAACATTCAAGGCTGGGTGGCCATGATTGCAATAGGGTTTAACGCTGCAATAAGGTGAAATTCCTGCATCAATTTACTCTTTTTTTCCCTCTTATCAGAGCTCATTTTAATAATCTGTTCAGTTGAAGCAGTGACCGAGAAGACAGTAGTGGGGAGATGTAGAAACCTTTCTCTGTCTTCTGAGTTCTCAGCAACCAAACGGAGACACATCTATGGACAAACTAACATTGATGTTACTTACAGTGTGAGAGTATCGAATGAACTCGGAGCTGGTAATGCACAAGGAGCAAAATTCTCAGTAATAGTTGTTTCAATCACATCCATATGCATAGGAGTGGTTTGCATGGTACTTGTGCTTGCTACAAGAGACTATTTCCCTTACCTCTTCACCAACAGTGAGGCAGTTGCTCAACTGACAACCAAACTTGCAGTCTTGCTAGGACTCACAGGTTTTCTAAATGGGCTTCAACCAGTCTTATCTGGTAAGTACAAGCAAACATGAATTAATCTTTTTTCAATTTTCTTATGCTAAGAACAAGTTGTTTGATCCTTGTGGGAAGAGGGCCAATTAGCAACTCATTGTGTGGCTTTCAAATGTTGAGTATAAGGGACAAGGGAACATCCAAGTACTTGATAGAAAAACTACTTTTTTGGATGCGAGGAGCTCTGTTCGAGAGTAAGCACTGGCTCTTATCAAAGAATCGCTAAGCACTGGCTCTTATCAAAGCATCGCTCTTTCCTTTGTCCTTTCCCCGATTTTTTCCCTATCACTAGTGGTTACTCCCGATCTAAAGCATCCCTTTTCCATTCATAGAGAAATCCAATCATCAGAATCAATAAAAACACCATTATGGAACAAAATCCAAACGGATCAATCTTGTTGCTAAAATATACAATTGTTTATGTTAAACCCTAAGTAATAGCTTAAACTTTTAGATCAATTAGTAGTTTAGCTGTCACCCATGTGACTGATCAACTGTAACCTGGGTTTCTTTTGTATATAAGCTGCTATTCTCTGTGGCATTAAGAAGGTGCTTAAGTGAGCTCTGTTCAATGTTCAATAGGACCATATATATGATAGTTCTGTGGTGGATAACAAAGCTTACCCTGGGCAAGTAAGGGCGCTGATAATGGCATCACTGCTTCAAGATGAAAATATTAACCTTTTTTACATACTTCTTTCTTGTAAGGCGTTGCTGTTGGAGCTGGATGGCAAGCTATTGTTGCATACATCAACATCGCTTGCTATTACATTGTTGGATTGCCCGCTGGCATACTCCTTGGATTCACATTTGATTTTGGAGTTGAGGTAATTTACTAAAGCTTTCTCTATTGAAGCCCTTATTCCATCACAAAATATTCATTCAACTTGCATACATCGCTCTTGAAATCTGAAAAACTCGAGGAAATTTGTGGGGTCGATTCAAGGATTCAACAAACGAAGTCATTTATAAATTCTTCTCCATATTATCATCGCGTATCTCCATGATCAGTTTCCTGCTGCCCACTACTTCCAATAATATTGATGTTCTACACTCAAATGTTACAGCATACGCTATACAAATTAGACTTTAATTGCCATATCTTTTAAATTCTATGACATATTAACATTAATATTATTATCTTTCTTCTGATTTGCAGGGAATTTGGAGTGGGTTGATTGGAGGCATTTGTTTGCAGACCCTTATTTTAATAGTGCTCACTGCATGCACAAACTGGAAGAAAGAAGTCAGTATTCTTCTATTATAAATGCTCAACAATCCTTTTTCTTACCTTACACTGAGCTCTAGTATTTTGCATATAACTTACTATTTTGAAAAGAAGTGTCCTAACTTGAATCTATAACTGATCTTTTAACCAAAATGTGCAGGCCGACGAAGCAGAAAGTCGAGTTAAGAGATGGGGAGGAGCCACTTCAGATCATTGATTTCAAATTTTCCGTAAATTAAGAAACAACAGGGTTACTGCCAAATAATTCGAATAAACGCTTTATTGAGTTGATTTGAAGTATCGGTGTAACACCGCCAATGCCATTTTTAGCGCACAGACCAGTCACATCCTCATTTACTTATATTGCTGCTTAGCATGTTAGTATCACAACCTTTTCATTACTTGAGGCTCTATGCGACTGCCAAAACTTGACTTTATGAGAGATAAATTTCTTTGGATCAAGATTCGAACTCAAGACGTCTGAATTTTTGAATTTCTCTATTATCACTTGAACTACCTCTTCAAATTAATGGCTCCTTTGTCACTTTGGTAAACATATTTTCCTCAATTTAAATCTTTTTACAGGTGCCAAGGGTTTTGACTTGTATCTTGAAATATTGTGCACCAAATAATAAGAATTTAGTTAGTGTCAAATGTCGATTCCTATGGTTTTGAAGAAAAGGTTGGTAAGTGTTAGCCCAAACTTATATTTCTTTTCAACAACTCAACCACCATCTCACAAACACCAGACTTAAATCAAGACTTCTTTAACAAAAATAATGACATTGCTATTCGGCACACGTATAAAAGTTTTAACACATTTGACACTAAATTTTGGGCTTATGACACAATAACATTCTCCAAGTTTGTAAATTATGTTTAGTCAATCCAATTGACAACGATAGTTCGAATTTTGGAAGGAAAACCATGTGATTATTTATTAATATGGTTAAATGCAACTTTAATGATAAAATTTACAAAAAAAACTCAAATACCAATTAGGGTTTAAGTGATACTACAAAAGAGAGTGAAATAAAGTAGTAACCCTAAAATTCTTGAATAGTTATATTAAAACTAAATTATGTAAATTGCAATACTATATCAATTCTGGGAATCTAATATTCGCCTGGGGTGGATCATCATTCTATCCCATAATTGCGGTAGTGTATTCTATCAGCCAAACATCCCATCTAGTGCGGCATTTTCGTCAATTCAGATACATTATCCAGCAACATTTTGCTCTTCACTCTTGGCAAACCATTTTCGGTTTCTCTCTCTCTCTCACACACACACACACACACACATCTCGAAGTACACAGGAATGGCAATTTCAATGGCATCCCTCACATCTTCCTTCGCTTCTCTAACTTTCTCTTCGCATATATCCCAAAGGCCCCAAGACCTCACTTTTATCCGATCGAAACCTCTTTCTATAGCCCACACAATCATAACCCCTCCTCTCGTCGTAGTTGCCTCTACCGTTGCGGCACCGGTCGATTTAGAGACTACGAATCTTAAGAAGTACGTCAAGGCGAGACTTCCCGGCGGATTCGCTGCTCAGACGATCATTGGCACCGGTCGAAGAAAATGCGCCATTGCTCGTGTCGTTCTACAGGAAGGTACCGGCAAAGTCATCATCAATTATCGTGACGCCAAGGTACACTTCACAAACACTTCTTCTCTTTACATATGTTTGTATGTATATTTGTGTTCATATTGATAAAACCAAAACTATTGGAATTGGTGGTAGAAAATGCATTTTGTTTTATATAGGGTTTTTGAGGAAATTTGAGAGATAAAGAGCTTATTGTGGCAGATGATTAGACTCGACTTCATGGCAAGTAGTGTAGAACTTTAGACGGTGTTGTATGGTTGTTGTAGGGGAATAGATAGGGACAATTTAGTTCGCATAAGCCTGAGACCCGTTGGTGACGTTAGTGAAGCTTCTTGATGGCACATTGGCATTGCATGATTCGTATAATTGAAAGAAATGTGTCGACCTGATGTATCCCTTTAATTTTCTTCTTCAAAACGCTCATTTCCGATTTGTTAGCATATTTTTATGAAGGATTTTACATTATAGATTACAAGTAAAAGATTAAACCCCTGAAAGGAATCAAAGTTAGTGGAATACTTGTGTGGTTGTCACTGCGCTGATGTCAAAGCTAAAGTTCTCTTGTTAATAAATTCCCTGTGCAGCTAATGTTATACAGCCAATTTACAGACCCCGTCAGTAATTAACGGAGTCTTGTGACGTGTCCATTTCGGAACCTGCCATATCCGGTTCTTTGTCCATGACTCACAAACCGAAAATACTATGTTGATAATTGATCATTTACTTTATTGTTTGGTATTTGTATACAAGTGTGGAAACTCTCATACATTTATTCTACTTTATCTACTGCAGTTTTTTAAACCAGCTGCTGCCTTGTTTTTTCAACAATTGATTTGCTTGTTTCTACAAGCGTGTAGCCTTCTAGTTATAGTATCCGTTTTCTGTTGACCGATCATATATGTGTTGATGATGAACCTTCCGTCTGTTATCATGAACGAGATTAAGTTGGAGTCAATGCATTTGAGATATAACATTGCATTCTTTTGCCATCTGTAATGTAAAAATCATGTTGTAAATTTGTTCGTTAAATATGTTGTGATAATTAGGATCTGACAGACTTGTTTATGTAATGAGATGTTGTAGACTACCCAAATAAAAGACTAGACAGCCCAAGCCATAATTAGAGGGGGAGTTGGGGACAGTTATAGGTTCTTAAACCAAGGCTGCTATTTCATTGCCAAGGCTTCCTATTGTGGATTCAAAGTTATGGGATCTTTTTTCATATTAAGTTGTTTCAATGATACTCTCTACGATTAGCATATTTTTAGGTTGGGATTTTCCCCCTTGCAGGAGTATCTTCAAGGCAATCCATTGTGGCTTCAGTATGTCAAATTTCCATTATTGACCTTGGGATATGAAAGTAGCTATGATGTATTTGTCAAGGCACATGGTGGCGGTCTTTCAGGGCAGGCTCAAGCAATTTCCCTTGGTATTTCTCGTGCGTTGTTAAAGGTGAGTGAGGACCATAGAACACCTCTGAGGAAGGAAGGCCTTCTGACCAGGGACGCGAGAGTAGTTGAGAGGAAGAAAGTTGGTCTCAAGAAAGCTCGGAAAGCCCCACAATTCTCGAAGCGTTGAGGTTAGAATATTGTATGTGATGGTTTATTGAAATTTTTTAGTCCTTTTCTTTTAGCTCCTCACTACTCGTGGTTGACGTTATTTATACAAGCCATTAAAAATTTTGCCTATTATGCAGCTTCATTCCTCACTAGACCTGTAATATACACACTTGTGCAAAAGGGTGAGGGCAGAGGGATCTAAATGTTTTAGGGGATTTTCATTCTAGATAATGATGTTTTTTCCCACAAAAAAATTTTGAAAAAACTCGATGTGTTTCAATCTTTCTTCTGTAGAAGAGAGGGATTGTAGTCAAGTTTTATAAAACTACATGTTAGCTTTAGCCACCCACTTATAGAGTTGAAGCCTTCACTGCTGGTGCAACCAACACCTGCTCTACTTGTTTATGTACGTCTGTGTGTGTTTTGAACCATTGTACATATATGTTAAAGAAAAAACACACTATTGTGCATATAAAAGCTGCTTATTAGTGGTCTGTTATGAGAATGATGCTATTCCTACTTATCTACATTGGCTGTTCTTGTAAACGATCATATTCAGTAAGAGAGAAGCGAAATTAAAGTGCTTCAGCTTTGTTTATTGTTATTATTATCAGTATTATTGTTTTGTACTGAAGCTTTGTTTATTGATCAATTTGTTTCTTGGCACTTCATTGCTAGATGGAGAGTAAATTTGCTTGAAGGTTCCATGTTTTTGTTTCCATCGTCTGATTTCTTATCAAATTGATTATTGACTAGAAGTTTCAATTGCTAACCCAAAACCAAAAAATGCTGGCTTTTCTCTTTGTTGAGCTTTATGAAAATACCGTTTTCTATTTCTTTCTTAATTTTTTTTTTCTCTCTGTGGATTTTTAGGCCTGCGTTGTAGATGCAAGATTCAAGCAGCAGACAGATTTAAGCAGCAAACAGGGTGGGGCGGGGCCGTGATATTTATGTAAATTTTGTAACTTGTCATTTATGCTTTTTTCCCCGAAACAAGTCATTTATATTTCAAAACAATTGGAAATGAGCTGATTCTTCGTATCTCAGAACTTTGTATGCAAACCCAGTTATTCATGCCACGACGTTATGGAGTGCTTTTTTTAGGTCAGGATAACTCCTTTAACATAGGAGTTTCTGGGAAGTTTGAATGTCAATGAAACACTCAAAAAGTTTCCGAATTTTGATTTGAGCTTACTGTATTAGCTGCTGTAGTTTGCTTTACCAATCTAGATCATGCACATCGTACGTTCAAGAGAAGTGATCCTGCAACTTTATGTAACTGTTCCTAAGGAGATCCATCATTGTTCTGACCCCCCTTCCCTTCTTCGGTTTCCCCCATATGAAAAGGATGTATCTATTCCTCCTAAAACATCTGCCCAATGCGTCCAAAACTAATTATATTCTCCATATGCATCGAGTTCAACGATCACAATTATGTAACCCTAAACAATAACTTGGCAAAAACCTCGGTCAGTCCAAGAACCACTGCTGAATTTTTATATGAAATAACCGAGTTCACTTTGCTTCTTGATACTTATACTGGTCATGGCAGCAAGAACGAAGCAATTTTGCATGGTTATTTTTTAACCTTCGAAATGAACATCCAGACATTTCTCATTTTGAAATGACAATCAGTTACAAAGGACGACATAGATTTGGTACACGGAAATGAACTCACAAGCACTCATTTCATCAACATCATCTCAAAGGTCTGTATTGAAATTCAAAAAGGGCTAGATTCTTTAAAGATCTGGCATTCCCTGCCCAGATTTAGCATCATAAGTCTTCTCCAAAACCAGATCCATAGGAGTATCCTTGGGTCCAGCTGCACAACAGAAACAAATCCAAAGCCAGTAGATTATATAAAGATAATAACGTAATTCTGAAAATTTAATCAGGTGTGCTCAGTGAGATCGATGTATACTTCATTGGATATTGTACAAGACTTCATATCGTAAGGGAACACTAATATGAAATTCCAAGTCAGACAATTACTTGCTGGTGAAGCCTCAAAGAAAGCAGCCACCGGCATCATTTAACAGAAGGTAATAAAATACATGCTTTAAGTTGAAACTTGGTTATTCTGAAAAGGACAACTAAAATAGGCTTCTCAAAACTTAGTTTCAATCTTCCTCCATGGTACATCCTTTCAGACTCCAGTTCAAAGAAAATACCTTCCTTTCACATTCAACGAAGAATAGAATCTCAAATCTTGAACATCCAAAGAGTACTCAGTTTCAATTGCTAGTTACCTAAGTTATTTCTTATTTCACTTGCTAAGGATCAACAAACTCTGAATTTCATTTGTGTTAAGGCATTACTTATGTTCAAAAATCATCCTGGTCAACAATGAAAGAAACTTACACCTTGCCATTTTTCTAATGGATACAAACTCAAAAAAGCATTAACTGAGAATTTCCAGCATCTCTAAAGCCTCCCATATAATACTTACATGTAGCATTGTATTCCTATGAATGAATATGATATTATAATTGTGCATGCCAAATGGTTAGTGACTGTGTGTGCAAAATGGAGACTGTAACCTTGGATCTCATGAGAGTCAGGACTATGCCCAACACATCCAGTCCTAATCATAAATTTTCATAGGTGCCAAAATAGAAACGTTACACAGGAGAAAACAACGGGCAGAGAATACATTCGTAAAATGAAACTTAAAAATTGAACACATGCATTCAAGCACAATAACGAGCCCACACACAGATGGCAATGTTTTGGCCCATACCAACAGTGGGTCTTGGTGTGGTCCTTATCTTCAAAATCTCAGGACGAGGAATGATTGACCCTGATGCTCCTAAACCTCTAGAAATTCTGACTTTGCTGCCATCTTCTAAATATCTTACACCAACCTTGCAAGGCTTCCTGCACAAGTAAATGTCAAATCTCATTCCCACAAAAGCATAAGTCAACAAGAAAAACTTAATATTCTTAATTAAAAATCTGGATTACATGCATACCCTGTGACGGGATCTAGAACCTGAACATTGGAGACATGAAGTGGGGCTTCAACTGTAAAAATCCCACCTTCATGACCTTGCCCTTGCTTGATATGTTTCTTTACCTGCAAAAATGTTTGACTGCAGAAGTGAGCAAATATCAAGGGGAAATCATGTTGTCAAACTCATGTAAACGATTAAAGAAAGCCCACAAAACACCAACAATATGGGAACATGAACAACAAAGGTTAAAACCACAAACTAATCAAAGTTAAAGGGAAGAACAACCCTTCTCGTAGCTTTGCTGGATCAAGACCTCGGTGAATGCTTAGAGATAACAATTCCAAACATACAAAGAGGAAAACCGCAAGACTGCTTGCCTTCAAGAACCCTTATAAGATAATAAAACATGGTATGGCCCAAATGTAGCCTGTACATGATTGCACCTAAGGTCCACATTAAACGTAGAATTATCCTGACAAGGTAACTTGGCAAAGTCCCTTTATATCACATCTGACCCCAACCAACAACCCCACCCTGAAACCGACACCCACAAGAGAGACAAACAGTCAGAGAGGGTTGAAACTTGATTATGCACTACCCATCGGGGGACAGGAAGAGTAAGATGAATTAATTTACCATGACAAGGGCAGATGTCTTTTATGCATGCATAGTGACTGGATATATGCACACCTGTGTACACATCCTCATATAGGCCTACTTTTGTTCAACTTGCAAAGAGAAATGCCAATTTAATGTTTTACAAACTTACATACCGTCCGCTTGAAGGCAGAAGATATTAAAGTAGAAGACCATGGATTTCTAACACATGCCAAGTAAACAATTCTCCATGTGTAATCTTATAGTGTTAATAATCACAAAACAAGTGAATCAAAAACATAAGAGAAATGACCATCAAAAAAAACATAAGAGAAATGGTTGTTAAAAAGAACAGAGCCAAATAGGAGTCACTGCTCACCAGATTTTTGCCTTCAACAATAACACGATTTTGAGAGCGTACGACCCTCTTAATAAGACCAGTCTCACCTTTGTCTTTGCCCCTAATTATCATCACCTGCAAAAGATATAGTGGTAGTGGAGAACCAGTCATTTTAAGGGGTAATAGAAATTAAAGACATGCAGGATTTAAAGAGAATATAAGTTTTCTTCTCTCGTATTACATTATCTCCTCTGAGAATTCTCCAGTGATGTATCAGTTTCTGCGCTGCTTTCCAACCCATTTCAGACAACAGCTGAAACAAAGGATGTTCAAGGTAGCGATTGCAAGCGTCAAAATCAATTTCTCTGCAGAAAGACTTTCAATACATTATAAGGTCCAGAAACCATGTATGAATTCAGCAGTATAACTCATAAAATCTAGATTTCGGTACCAACACATATTTCTCAGAGTCTATAATTAATTTATGAGCCAAAGGTTGATACTCAGTCCTCAGGTAGATTGTGCCAGTAAAGCAAGCTCTTGTGTGTTTCTGTTGTTAAAGGTTATGAAAGCGAGACCTTAATAATTTCCATTATCAATTTACTAGGTTCTTTCACTGAAAAGTTAAAGTTGACAAAAGCTTGTGAAACAAAAAAAAATTGGTTTCATCAAAAAAGGATAACAGTTATTCATGATAAACAAAATTAAAATATTGCTAACTGCTATAAATTTTGAGGGACCAGTCCGGTGATGCACACATACATTCCGTGAAGTCATTATTCCAGTTTTTGAAAAGCATGGAGCAAGGAAAAATTATCCCTCCATCCTTGATGAAAACGTAAGAGAACATCAAAATACAGAAGACGGTATCATAACTGTATTGCATAGAAACCAATACCAAAGATATTTTGTACTTCACATAATTTAAAAGCAATACACAAAGTGTCAAGGACAGTATTTTCAATTGTTTCACAAAAATAGTGCCAATTTCCTAACCCATTCCTTAAAGACAATATATTGTCCATTTTAGTTGAGATAACTCTTCAGACTTAAACGGAATATGACTGGATGAAAGTATTATATTTAGGTAATTAGGTTTTTCTCCCTCATATTCTCAGCAACCAAAGAGATCCAAGTTCTACACGGAGTTCTGAAAAGACAACAAAGGGGGAAGATCCACATATAGCAAATGTATATGCAATCATAACCATGACATACCATTAACATTAATTCATACAAAAAAATTGTACACACTATTATCACATTATATTCTACATTAAACAAAAGTAATAACAAGATAAATGCCAGTTAGATTGATCACTATAAAATTGCCAATTGTCATAATAATAAAAATTGCATTTAGGATACAAATCACGAATTCAATTGTAATGCACTTTGCTCAGTTAACAATAAAGGATTTGAACCACAAGCGAGGGGTTGTGACCGCGATTATGAGTGTGTGTGTGCGTGTGCGTGTGCGTGTGCGTTATTGTGTGTGTGACGATATGACTGTTTTTGAATCTGTGAGATGCTGTGTTATTGTAGCAACAAAAAGAAAGGAGGAAAGATGGAGCTTACCTGAACCTTGAGCTGTTCGACAGTGGCGGTGGAGAGAAGAGCCAGATTTGGAGTTTTGGACCAGAAGACCTATGGGCAAAATTGTCATATTAAAATATTTTAAAGGTTGCACTAAAAGGCCATGAGATTTATCATTTATCACATTTGGGTCTTTAAAGTTTTAATTTCATTAATTTCGCCCTTACAGTTCAAATATTGAAAGATTCTGGTCCTTAACAGTAACTGCCGTTAAAAAAATAAACAAAAACTATCATGTGCATGTCACGTGCATCTCTCTAAGGAATAAGGGCCCAACATTATTTGCTCCACTACCCCTATTATTTTTAGAAAATGCAAAGTAATATTCCACAATATCCACGTATCATATCTCGACGGAATTTTTGAAAAAAAAAAAAAGTTGACTATAGAATAATTAACAGAAATGGTGGTAAGAGTAGTTAAATTGATCGTACCGAAGAATGTATTCAAATGAAACAAATATCTCCTATTAAATAAAATTTTATTTTTTTTTTGAACAAGATCTTCTACTAAATAATTAAAAACTAAGAAAATTCAGTATTTTAGATCTGAAAGGTTTTGGAAGGTGGTCTCTTATTCCTTAATTTGATTCCTTTCGAAAAGTTAATAGAATCTTTCTATCTGTATAATAAAGTAAATTTATGAAATCCAAGTCATTTATGACAAAATATCCTTTATTAATGACTAAATCTCATTAGGTCTCTGATCAGTAACCCTTTTGTTCACCTATATTAATAGGCAAGCAAAGGGAGAGAGGGTAGAAGTCTCTCAACAAGTTGTGCAACTTCGAATGGCGAAGTTTTCAGCATGGTTTTCCTGTGTCCTCGTCCTCACTGCTCTCTTTGCTGGTATCATTCATATATCCCAGTCCTCTTGTTTTTAGTTTAATACAGTTTTTGATAATTTTTAGTTTACTATATATATAGTTTTCAATAGAGCAAATTATATATATAGCTCTCAAACTATGACTTTTATATTAATTAAGCCTATTTTTTTTGTGTCAATTGAACATTTAAACTCTCTAATTGTGTCAAATAAGTCTTCACAAAAAGACAGAATGATTTAATTGACACAAATTAAAGAAGTTAGAGACTCAATTGACACAAAAACAAAAAATTTAAGAGTTCAATTGACACAAGGTCATAGTTTGAGATTTTAATCATTTGTGTCCTATGAGTGACGTACTTCCCGACTTTTCATTATAAAAAGGTTCAATTGACAAAATTAGAGACTTCAATAGCTCAATTAACACAAAAAAAAGTTAAAAAACTTAATTGACACAAAAATTATAATTTGAAGACAATGTCTATGTTTTACTCGTTTTCGATGCTCTTTTAGTTTACCATAGTTTTTGGGAATATTTTTTCAGGTTTGTTAGGGGTGTTCGTGGACTAGGCTGAGCTAAGCTAGCAAAATTTTTTTCAGGTGGGGGCTAGGTAATGTAGGCTCATACCTAGTGAGTTATGGGGTGGGCCGGCCCGGGCTTCGGGTGGGGGTAAGTTATCCGTAGTCCAACCCGTGAATTTATTGGACAGGTCTAGTCATGGTTTTTTTATATACAATTTTATTTAAAAATAATGGATATTTTTGTAATTTAATATTTGTGTAAATTATATTTTTGAATCAAAAGTAGAGTCAAAATGGATAAAAATAAAAAAATAAATAATTTTTTTTATTAGAGGATGAATACATCTCAACTAGATTGACACATACTCACTTATCTATCATTTGCATTATTTTACCTTTTAAAACTTTAATACTTAATACATGAAAAAGAAAACAATGTATTATATATAGTATTTAAATTTTTAAAATTTCAAATTCCGACATTGAAAAACTTTTTTTAAAGTTTCAAATTTAATAGCATAAAAATATAACTTTTTTTTCAAAGGAAATGGTGAGCGGGCGGGCTGGGCTGGGCTTTAACGAGTTTTTTTGGGTGGATTATTGGACCGGGCTTGGGTTCAAATAATGAGTTTGGAGGCAAACTCAAACCCTCTTTTTAAGAATATTGAGCTCAAGTTCGAGTGGATCAACTATCAACCCTATCAAATATTGAGCCTATTTTTTTAATCTAAGTAACGGAATTCATAGGTAACCCGGCCATAGACACCCCTAAGGTTTGTATGTTGGTGCTTTATTTTGTAACAAAACCTTTCATTGCGGTTGAGTAACTCAAGTAATGCACCAAATCCCTGTAACCAATATAGGGGATCCGTTGTTCCTCTTTACTGGTAGGGAAGTGTGCAGTACACCTCTATGTGTGAATTCGTCGTTGTTCGAAAAAACACATCTTCTATTCCCCCAGTCACACACTGGCTTGCTTGTTTTCCCAATTAATCACAATTAGTGTACCATTATGGTGCGTTTATTTTTTTGACTTAGGTTTATTCTAATATTATTTTTTCCAAATTTTTGTCGATGATAGATTACCTAGGATGTATGAATAAGGGGTGCCCTCGTAAATAATAGTTATTCTGTATTCATATTCAATGATATACCAATAAAGTAAATTCAAAGTGCATCCAACAGTCTCACCCTATTTTTCTTTTCAAACCTTGGTTGTTTAGTGCTTCTTCGATACTTTAGTACAAAATATTAACTAGTGAGATAAAATTAATTTTTAAGTGTCTAAATTATAATTTTTTGAGGTACTTAAAATTAATTTCAAACACCGTGTTGTACTCAGAATAACTTGACCTAAAAAGTTGATATTTTTTAGGATTGATCCTAGCCCAAAAAATAGTATTTTGAAGAAAAAAAAAGATAGTAAACTTCTGTACCATACCTAAGTCAAACCCAAAATATTAAAAATGGTGGTATGAGTTGGATTATAGCTGTGAGTTCTAATATTAAATGAAATTTACTTTCTAATTTAATAGTTGCATTAAATTAATTAGTTTTGATTTTAGGTCCTCATCAAACTAAATCCAATGCCATTTTCCTTATGTGTTGACTTGGTGGGTGTAGTTACAATGGTGATGATTCCCCAGTTGGCTGATGCAAAGACTTGTGACGAAGGATATCCATGGATCGAGCTCAAGAGATGCGAGAGATACTATCCATATACAGACACAGCATGCTGGAAAGCTTGCTGGGATAGGCATGGGAATCAAGCAACTGCGGTTTGTTATGGCGCTGTCGGGATTCCAAACCAAGTTCCTATGTGTCATTGCCGCTTCCCCTGCTGATTCTTCCCTTTATTATTTCTAAGCACATGCAACTTATTTGCAATAAGGATTTAGTAATAAAGTTCTAGCTAATAATATCTAGCATTATGTATTGATGGTTTGAATTGTTACACCCCCATTCCGGATCACATAGGGTGGGCGGCGGACCGGCCACCAAGGCCTTAATCAACTAACCTTGTGCATAATAAATGCAAAATACAGCGAAAAATAAATAATAAAGTGATTCAATCCATCGATCTAATTAATACCAGAGGAGTAAACTAAACATCATCAACATCATTATTAAATTCATGTAAAACAATAACTAAACCATAAGGTTCACTATTCTAAAGTCTAAACATGAGCAACATTATTCTCAAAACAATTAAATATTTGTCTCAAAACCATAAAAGACATTTATTTCTGAAAACCTACAATAAAATAAATTTTCAATTCTTCTAATCCTTTGTCCATCCAGGGACTTACTCCTCCCCCTGATTCTCACCTGAAAAATGTTAAATGTTTGGGTGAGCACAAAGACCCGTGAATAGCAACCACATCTAATAAGGTGTGAAAATAAATCCTACATTTTACATGCAAAAATAAACTTTGTTATATACATAAGTACAATAAATTGTACCCCAGTCCCTTTTACATAATCATATAAACAAAATAATCTCATGATCATAAATAACTTTATAAAAGAAAATATATTTATAACTCAAACATTCATTCATTTTCACAAATAACTTTATAAATGAAAGACATTTATAACTCAAAACACTCAGGCACATTCAGTTTCAAATACATTTATCAAATCATGTTTGTTATCACTAGTCTGGTAACTAGCTCTGTCTTGTGTCATCACTAGCCTGATGATTGGCCCCGTATCTTGTTATCACTAGCCTGATAACTAGCCCTTATGTGCACATCCCTATACCGACCACGCCGGTATACAATCTCGTTACTATTTAGACCTGATAATCCAGTCCCCTTCTCATAAAACATGATTTCAACATACACACACTAAAACTGTTGTTTTAGTCCCAACGCACACAAAATTTCTTTTTCATCATCAAAACACATTTAAGCAATAATATAAAATCATATCATAAAATTTTCAAGTTCACATGTAACAATTTACAATGGCAAAACATTTAATTGCAACCCCGAACATCAACACATATATCATATATATGAAAAATCCACACGCATGCACTCACATATTTAATATAGAAAATCTTCTCAAAAGAAGTAGTAACTACTCATCTTGATTGCTAAAATCCAATTCAAAGCACTATTTATCAACTTCAATGCAATCACCACCTAATCCAAAATAACATATAACAGTCAATCATTTTTCTTAATCTCGTTGTTTCACGATTCTATATTTAATTTTTATACTTCTCACCTATTGATATATACTTAATGTATCTTTTACATATAAATATCCTTTCTAATATGAGGTAACAAGGTATGGAAGTATTTTGGGTTATTTGGAAAAAGTTTTTAAAGTTCTAGGGTCAAATCATAATTTTTGAAATTTTTGGGGCCAAAGTATAATTTTCTTAAAAAACGAATTTTCTGTATTCGAGTTTTCCATAAATTTTTTAGAATTCTGTTCTTGCAACTTACCAAGTAAAAAGGTACTTAAAATTAAGTTTAGAAGAATAAAAGGGTTAAAATAAAATTCTTTGAAACTAAAGGGGAGCTTTCTGTAAATTTTTTTTTTTTGGATTTGGTCTTCTTCATCCAGCGGCAGAACCTAGAACTAGTATACTTCTTTCCCCCTTTGTTCTCGTTTTTGCTTTGTAAGACATTAAACAAATTCTTTAAAAGCCTCAAAAATAATAAATCTATATTAGGTTTCAAAACACTTAA